TTCTGGGTGTGAGCCCTGAGGGCCTAGTCACTACTGGAGGTTGGGGGAGGGGGGGTTGGAAGCTGAAGTAAGGGTAGGGCACCTAGTCTCACTCCCTCCCTCCTCTCCCCTCCAGATGGCAGCTACCATTGACATGAATTTCCAGAGTGATCTATTGTCAATATTTGAAGAAAATCTTTTCTGAGAGCACCTAGGTGACTTCTGACTTTGATTTTCTGGCAAAACGTTGACTCTCCATAGTGTTAGGGGCGGCAGTGGAGGCGGTAGCAGTGGCAAGGGGGTGTCTCCGGGCCTGGCCCTCCTGCATGCTGTGCCCAGGGCAGGGCCTGACGGGCAGCTGAGGATCGCAGAGCCTGTCTGCCTTACAGTCAGCCGGACGTCCCGCCACCCACCACCCCCTCACAGGACGTCAGCTCAGAGCACGCCTCTCCATGAGCAAGTGCCGGCCAGACCCCAGCCGCGCGTCCCTGCGTGCGGGGCAGAGGTCCTGCTCTCTGCCAAATGTCTACACAGTATACACAGGACATTGTTGCTGCCGCCGCCGTGACTGGTTTTCTGTCCCCAAGAACGTGACTTCGTGACCTCCTGCCCACCAGGAGTCCTTCCCCCACACCCCAGCCACCACCGCCCGCTCCCAGGAGGCCAGGGCAGGCCCGAGTGAGCTGGAGGCGGGCGAGGGCGCCGGCCCACCCCTTTGCTGGCACTGACTTTGCCTTGAACAGACCCCATCCCTCCCCTCCCCCCACAAGCCTTTAATCGAGAGCCGCTCTCTGTAAGTGTTCGCTTGTGCAAAAGGGAATAGTGCCGTGGAGGTGTGTGTGTGTCCATGGCAATTTGGAGCGAGGTGACTGTCACACGCGCGTGTGTGGGCCGGCCTCATCCAGTGAGTGAGGCCACCAACCAAAGTCAGTTCCTTCCCGCCTGTGTTTCTGGGTTTTGTTTTGTTTTTTTTTTGTTTTTGTTTTTGTTTTTGTTTTCTATATATATATTTTTTGTTGGATTCTATTTTATTTTTAATTCTCTCTTCTCCTCCAGACACAATGGCACTGCTTATCTCTGAAATGGTGTGATCGTCTCCTCATTGAGCGGCGGCCGCCACCGCGCTGTGGGTAGTGTGTGACCGTGGCTGTCCTGTGTAGTGAACATAGTTGGCATATCTTTGTTTGAAGTTTGTTGGTGACTCCACCAAACTGGTGTAAAAAACTCAAAAAAAAAAAAAAACCCACAAAAAACAAAACAAAACACACAAAACACAAAAAAAAACTGCCTATATTTTACTCAGTTTCAAACTTTATTAGTCTATTTTTAATTATAAAGCCATGTTTTCTTTTCCCACCCCTCCCCCCCCCAATTTGTTTTTAATGTCAAATCTGTTTGAGTTGTTTTTTTTACCAGGAAAGTAAGGGCCAGGGGACAAGGCAGGCACCGGGGGCTGGGGGGCCACAGACCCCTGAGGTAGAGACCCCACCCAGCCTGACTAGCCAGCTGCCCCTTCCCCCACCTTTTTTTTTTTTTTTTTTTTTTTTTTTAATTTTATAATTGGAGCCCTTGGTGAGGTTACGTGTGCCATGAGAACCCACTCTACACCACGACGCTGGTGCCTCAGTGTTGGCCAAACTCTGGAGTCACTGACTGGTTTGACTTTCATACGGTGAATACGCATTTGGTCTGTACTGATCATGGAATAAACACATCTCTCTTTTTTAATGCTGGCGTCTTCCTGACATTTCTTTGTGAACCACCTGTTGCCTAGGCTAGGCCCAGGGGCCCCCGAGATCTCCAGCCACCTTTGTACAAGAACTACCATAGGGCCAACTAGCCCATCTCCTGTGACCAAGTTGAAGCTGTGACAGGGAGCCCAGGTACCCATTCTTCCTGTGGACCCTGGCCTTCTAGGTGGGTAACATGCTGCAGCAGAACCTGGCCAAACTCCAGACAGTATTCTTCCCCCTTGCCCTCCTGCATCCTGGTCCCCCAATCACTAGAGGACTTGGGCCGCTTCTCCCACCTCACCTGCCTCTACCTTAACTACTTTCATTTAAGCTCAGGGTTAACCAGGTGTTCTTAGATAAGTGTACACTGCCCGCCCCCCCAACCAGGATCCTTTCCTCCCACGCATGTAGACACGCACGCACACATTCCCACCCAAGAGAGCCCGCCGTGTGGCTGCTGGTGTGCCCACCAGCATGCCACAAGGCAAGGGCAGCCCTTAAGAGTGGCCCCTAGGATGTAAGATGAAAGTCTATCATTTATGTGTGCAGAAACACAAACTGAAACATTTCTAGCACTGTTTATTAACCCCTACTACCCCCCTTTGTTTATCAACCAGAAAAGCCCTTGTGTCTTGTGTTTGGGATCTGCAAAACCTGGCAAGGGTGTGGTTCAGGCATCCAGCCAGAGACCCCCAGTTGCCTCCCTGCCCCCCCCACCCCAGCAGGCACTTCCTTGTGTGCCCCTGTGCTGGTTCAAGTGGGACTTAGATTTTGGTTCTTTGGGGTTTCTTCATCTCTTCCCGCCCCCTCATTTCTGTTCTGTGTTTTGTTGGTTAACTTCCCCAGGCCAGGTCCAACTGTTTAGCTGGAGAAATGGTTTTGTCTGCACCTTCCTCCTAAAGATTTAACTCTGCCATGGCCCTCTCCACACCTTCCTGATGGGTGTTTCTCTAACTGGGTTGTAATTTAGAACTTGGGTCTACTATTTAATTTCTCTGGCCATTTCCCACTCCCTCCCACAGTACAAGAAATCTTAGTCCTATACAAGAGTAAGAGGTGTGTACAAGCCCCCACTGTACTGTATGCACGGATCGCTTGGCCAATAATTATGTCAGTGAATCTGAGACTTGTATTAAACACTTTAGACATTTGTAGAAGGGAATTCGTAGACTTTTCACTTATATACTAAAGGTTTTTTTTTTTTTTTGTGCAGTTCTCATTGCAAAAATAAACATTTGTACTGAATATAAAATTACCATCCTGTGACTACCGCTGTCTTTTTGTTTGAGGGTAGAACTGGGGGTAGGGGGGGTGGTATCCGTTTTGTGTAGCAGAGCAAGAAGGACGATCCCCCAGACACTCACGAGCCATCCAGCCAGATTAGAAGACTTGGGAGTGATTCCGGGATTATCCAGTGGTTGGAAAATTGATTTGATGGAAAGTGTAAAAGAAACCAAAGCTATGATACAGGCTAATCGTGCAAGAAAAGAAAGGTACTAAGTACAGGGAGAATAAACCTTTGTACAATACTGGCTGTGTAATCATAGCCGTCTACCTGAGGCTGAGATACATTGTTTACTGAGGTGGAACCACATAAACCACCGTTCCCCTTTATGTAGGAACCCACAGACTTAATTATGGTCCCAGGACAGTGTAATGTTTAGCAGCCAGAACAATACAAAGGTAAGGTTAGAAGTGGGAGGTGACGGAAACAATGAGTAGAGTGCTGAAAATTAAAGGAAACCAATAGGAAAACTAAAAACGGGTAAGGCCTGTCCGGTGGTGATGACGGAGTCGATGCAATGCTTAATGCCCCAAATTGGTCATCAAGAAATAGCCACACAAGCGGATTGCGAGCTACCTGGATAATCACCAGAAGAAAGCTATAAGCATTCCGATGGCTTCCTCTTGGCTGAAGTAGAGGTGGAGCCTGACACTGTTGCTTTTTCTGTAAGTCCTGTTCAGCAAGCTGTGTGGCTATAGGCAAATGACTTAAACCGGGAATTTCAGGTTCGTGGTCTGTAATACAGAGATGTGATAATAGTACCTAAACTTAATAGGGGTGTTATACGGGTTAAACCATGAGTGACCCTGAAATGTTCAGGATCTTGGGGGAAGATTGCAAAACAGGAGGAGGAAGCTGGCCCTATCGGGCCTCTCGCCCGACCTTGCCCCACTTCCTCTTTCAGACAGCCCTACTGGCTCAACCGGCCAGGTCCTCCGGCTCCCGGGCCGGGCCTGCCTTCTAGAAGTCAGAGTCTCCCGGTCTTCATTGGTCCGCCCCCGCGGAGCCCCCGGCCTCAACACCTGCTGATTGGCTGCGGGGCGAGACCTGTGGCCTGCATGTCAATAACCACCGCCCTCCAATCACAGCCGCGTAGGGGCGGGCCGACGACGGACCCGCCGGACTAACTGGAGGCCGGTGCGGGGTCGAGGCCACTGGACCCGCCGTTGGAATCAGGCCTGGGTGAGGGTGCTGTTAGTTCTCTCGCAGCCAGGCCAAGGACAGGGCCGCACGCTCCAGGAGGGGGAGCTCTCGGAGGGCGGCGGAAGGAGCCCCCTAGGCCTCCTCGGCTTGCGGCGACCGCCCGCGCCCAATCCCAGCCAAGGAACTACCTGCCTCCTCCTTCCGCTTCCGGGCCCACCGGCCCCGCCATATTAGGTTCCGGCCCCGCCCCCCGTCTCATTGGCCCGGACCCAGGCCCACCTCCAGCTTATTGGTCCAGCCCTTGCACCCAAACCCTCCCCGCCCAGCCTAGGGCCCTCTCCCGGCTAGCTTCAGGCCCCTCCTCGTCTGGGCTCCACCCTCTCCCCGCCCACCCTTTAAGCCACGCCCCGGTCGTGCACCGCTTCTAGGCCAAATTGGGTCCAAGTTTCGGGCTCGTAGGCCGCACCTACCCTGCATTGCTCCGCCCCTTCGCTCCAGGCTCCGCCCATTTCACCCAGGTACTCCGCCGTACCCTGCTCGTTAGTCCCCATGTCTATCTCCCCCTACACTTCAGATCCCCACCCACCGGCGCCGGGAGTCCTACTAGACCCCGCCCCCTTCTTAAGCCCCGCCCAAGCCTGCCTAGGCCCCGCCCGCAATTCGCATTCCTTCTCGCCAAGGCTCCTCCCCAGCCACCGAAGCCCGGTCCTCACAGGCTCCATCCCCTCGCCCCATCCTGTTCCCTGTCGCCGTCCCACCCAGGTGTTTACCTGGCTCTTAGGTGAGTCGTGTGCTGTGGCGGTTTCGGTCTAAGCCTCCCGCCTCTTCTCCGGGAGGGTTCCTCAAGCCCGGAAGACACGGAGGGGCCCCAGACCAAAGGCGGTGGGCTCCCCAGCCCGGGTCCCGCCTCGGTGCGGCTGCTCGCGCCCCCCGCCCACACCCCCAAAGGCAGCGCCGAAGTGGTCCCGGGTCGTGGCGACATGCCCGAGCTGGTGGTGACAGCGCTACTGGCGCCGTCGCGCCTCAGTCTGAAGCTGCTGCGCGCCTTCATGTGGAGCCTCGTGTTCTCCGCGGCGCTGGTGGCCGCCGCCGTCTATGGCTGCATCGCGTTCACACACGTGCTGTGCCGGCCCCGACGCGGCTGCTGCGGGCGCCCCCGGAGCGCCCCACCCGCCTGTGTGAGCGACCCCACGCTGGGCGAACACTGCTTCCTGACCCTCAAGGTGAGCGCTCGCGCTCCCCCGGGGCGGGTGGGGCGGGGGTTGTTTGTGAGTCCTTCGGAGCTTGGGGGGGCGCGCTAAGCGGCCCCGGAAGTCGGGCCCTGTGGGGCTAGGGGGGCGGGGTGAGCAGACAGCAAATGGTTGAATCCAAATCTGGGGCTGGGGTGTTTAAGCCTAGTGAGGAAGGGTTTCCCCGTCTCATACTGTGCTGTCCCCCAGAGCTCGGGCCTGCGCCTGCACTATGTCTCCGCTGGACGTGGCAATGGGCCCCTCATGCTGTTTCTGCACGGCTTCCCAGAGAACTGGTAGGTCCGAAGCCCAGGCTCCTGGGGCACACAAGCCCGGAGGTGGGGCTGGAGATAGAGCTTGCACCACCAGGGCATCCAGAAGGTGGGCTCGCGGGCTGGGTAGACTGAGGGCACAGAACATCCAGATGGGGTGCTCGAGGTCAGAGATCTGTCTACAGGAGGAGACCCTGAAGAGATGGGACAAAGAGGTCTTGGGTCCAGTGTGCAGCTGACCTTGCCTTCTGCATGGGGTTCCCCCATCTTTGTTTTTGGGAAGCCCAGGGCAGGAAGGCGGGGGAGGTGAAGGCCCCTGCTGGGCATAGGGCAGCCTGGGGACCCTGACAGCCTCCCTCCCCACCCGCCTGACAGGTTCTCCTGGCGCTACCAGCTTTGGGAATTCCAGAGCCGCTTCCACGTGGTGGCTGTGGACCTACGGGGATACGGCCCCTCAGATGCCCCTCGGGATGTAGACTGCTACACGATGGACCTTCTGATGACGGACATCCAGGATATCATCCTGGGCCTGGGTGGGGATACCCCCCTCCCAAGCCTGGTCTCCCTCCCTCTGCCTCACCTCTCCTTGGCATCTCGCTGACACCAGTTCCTCTGGCCTCCCAGGTTATTCTAGGTGTATCCTGGTGGCCCATGACTGGGGTGCGCTCATCGCTTGGAATTTCTCCATCTACTACCCATCCCTGGTCGAGCGGATGGTAATTGTCAGTGCTGCCCCCATGTCTGTGTACCAAGGTGTGTTGGGGAGTCCAGGGTGCTGGGATGTGCCTGTGTCTGTGTCTATGCTTCCCCAGGGTCTGGGGACACACATACCACTCCCCACCTGCAGTCAGTGACAGCACAAGTAGGAGTGGCTCAGTGTCTGGAGCGTCTGCAGGTAACCATCGCTCTGACAGGGAGCTCGCATACAGTAACCTACACAAGCCTCCTGAGCAGATGAAAGTGTTAACATCTTCGTGGTCCAGTTGAGGGAAACTAAGGCAAGAGAGGTTAAGTGCCTTTCTTCTGACAAGGAAAGTATAGATAACAAAGCAACTACCATAGCATGAGATGCCTGTCGCCTCACCTGATTCTATTTCCCAGTATTGCAGTTGAAGTGACATAGTGGCATGGCCTCTCATCTTTTTTCTCTCTCTCTCTTTCTCCTTTTCTCTGCCTCTTCCCGTCCCTTTTTGTTGACTTTTCTCATCTCTCTCTGTCTTTAGACTGTCAGTTCCCAGGGGCCGGGGAGTTTTGTCTGTTCCTTTTACTGCTGTGTCTCCAGGGTTTTAAACAGGTCCTAGGTGCTCAGTAAATATTGAAATGCATCCAGGCCTGGGTGGGCGAAGCACACCAATGGCTCTGGGGGCTCCTGGGAGCTGCGGAGGGAGGGGCCCCCGTTTTGTGGGCACAGTGACACCTGGGCAGGGAGGAAAGCTGGTACCCAGGCCGGAAGGAGCGTCGAGCATCCTCAGAGCCTCAGGCAATCAGTGATGACATTCCTGAGTGTTGGCACATCTGTGTGCCTGACCTGGGTACCTGTAGGAGCGCAGGGGTGTGGGGCCACCCTGGGCCCAGGCCTAGGCCTCACATCTGACTTTCCCCTGCCTCCAGACTACTCTATACACCACATCGGCCAGTTCTTCCGTTCCAACTACGTTTTCCTGTTCCAGCTTCCCTGGCTGCCTGAGAAATTACTGTCCATGTCTGACTTCCAGGTGCAGTGGGGCAAAGGCCGGTGGTAGGTGGAGGGTAGGGGGTTGGGTCTGGACAGGCGGGGCACTGAAACCACAGTCCTGTTGTGTACCCAGATCCTGAAGACCACCCTCACACACCGCAAGAGGGGCATCCCACACTTAACCCCCAACGAGCTTGAGGCCTTCCTTTATGACTTCTCACAGCCCGGTGGTCTCACTGGGCCCCTCAACTATTACCGAAACCTCTTCAGGTGAGAACAGACCCAGGGCGGAAAGCTCAGGAGAGTTGTGGGGGCAGGGAGTTGGGTGGTCATTCTTCTGTCTGTCCCTGTCTTGGCCACAGGAACTTCCCCCTGGAGCCCCAGGAGCTTGCCACCCCCACTCTGCTGCTGTGGGGAGAGGAGGACACCTACTTCGAGCAGGGGCTGGTGGGAGCCATCAGCAGTCGCTTTGTGCCCGGCCGGCTGGAGGCCCACATCCTGCCAGGCGTGGGGCACTGGATCCCACAGAGCAACCCTGGGGAGATGCATGAGTACATGTGGGCCTTCTTGCAAGACCTGCTGGACTAGTGGCCCTCGCTCACTGGCCTGTGTGCACCTAGGAGACCCCACAGTGCATGTACATGGGTGGACTCCTGGATTGTGCACGGGCGTGGAACTCGAGGCTGCACCCAAGGGTGTCTGCGGAGGCCCTCAGGCACACGAGCCCATGGGCTCGCACACAGGTGTGCGTGTATGCGCAGGTGAACAAGCGCCTCGATCCTGGAGAACCTGGGGCAGCTCTCCTTGTAGAGCTAGATGTGGAGCGTCCTACCTCTCCCCTCCCCCAGGGCCTCACTGTTCTCCCCAGCGTCAGCCATCGGAGCAGCATCAGACACAGACTCTAACCTTCCTGTCCCTGGCTTTCCTCTGCAGTCTGAGTCTTCAGCTAAATGCTGCTGTGTCCGATGGGGTGCTGGCAGGCACATCTGGCTGCTTCAGTTCACATGCAAAGTAACTAAAAGAAAATCAATTAAAAATTCAGTTCCCTAGTCACGCTGGCCATACTTCAAGGGCTCAGTTGCCACAGCAGTATAAGGGATTCCGCTGGACAGTGCCGAGGGGCGTGCTCCTAGAACAGGGGTATCCACACCGGGCTCCTGACCAGCTTCCCTGAGGGAGAACCCTCATGTGCCAGCAGCTGGGTGTCTAGACTCTGGTCTAGCTGGACCCTGAGCAGTTCTCACGACCTTCCGCCCAGCCGTGACTCCAGGCCTTGTAAGCTCAAGTTCTCTTGCTGCGGCCTGGGAAAGATCCCTGGGACCCCTGTCTCAGATACATGGAAAAATGGCTCTAGGTTCCATTAGGTTGGATGTGTGAGATTCTGGACTGGCCCAGGAAGGGACCAGCTCTTTGAATGATCATCTGAGGTCTGAGAACTGCCTCTTCAGCTCCAGGAATCTTCTCCAAATGAACTTCTCCAGTTTCTCCTGATTCTTTCTGGGGTCCTCCAGCTCCAGCCTCTGGGTGAGGGAGGTACAAGTAGAGGGTGAACCATCCAGCACCAGGCTGATGACAGCACTTTGATCTCCCCAGCTTTTGCCTGGCCTTTGGGGACGGTGTCATGACCTGCCATGTGATGAACCTCTCTGGAGACCAGCAACCTCAGAAATACATTCTCTTATTCATGGGATGGCCCAGCCTGGCTAACGCCTGCCTGCTGGTCACCCCCTTCTGTCCTCTCTTGTCTCCACCATAACATCCTGCCTCTCATCCGTCATGTGTGCCAGGCACTGATCTAGGCCCCGGTGGTGGAGTTAGCAGAGAACAGGCATAGAGAGTTATGTGAGAGAACGACGGCTCTGGAAGGGCTTCCCTAGCTGGGGGACGCACTTCTAAGCAGTAAATTGGAAGGTCGGAGGCAGAAATAAGCTTAGGCTGGCTACTGGAGGAACAACGTGGGGATTAGCGGCTGCTAAGGAGAAGAGGCCACACAGCCAGACCCGCCAGGGGCTGCGAGGAGTTTGGATTGATTCTCAAGGGGAGCCAGGGGAGGGTTTTCAGCAGGGGAGGGACATGGCTTGCATTTTGAAAAGCTCCCTGTTGTGGCTAGGCCGTCCCACGCAAGAGAGCGAGCGGGGAAACAGGCAGGGGCCTATGCACAACCTCAGCACCGGGCAGCCCGTTTGGCCCCAAGGGAGCCGGGGCCCCCCACCCCCTGCCTGGGTGGGAGCAGCGCCCCCTAGGGGCGAGGAGATGGGCGGGAGGGGAAGGGGACCCCGCGATCTCGGAGCCTGGGGCGAGGAGGCCTGCGGGCAGGATGAGGACGGTGTGTCCAGGGGGCGGTGGGTCTGGCGACGGTTGCCAGGGGGACGGGGAAAGGGCTGATGGTTGACCGGAACGGGTAGCGGTTGTCTGGGTGATTGAAGGGGCCCAGGCGAAGGCTGACGGGAGGCCTCGGACAGTTGCCGGGGCGACGGGTCCGCTGACGGTTGCCAGGGCAACTAGAAGGCGCCGTCTTCCGCCGCCTCTGCAGCAGGCGGGAGGGAGTCAGAGTCTAGGGGGTGGGGGCGAAGATTAATCGCGCTGATTGGACAGAGTCCTGGCTAGTGAGCCAATGGAGGCTCGTGGCTCGGCCAAAGCCCTCCTCTCCCATCCTGAGCCAATCCTGGCGCTCCTTTCTCCCGGCCGAGGGGCTCGGCGCGCGCTACCCTTCGAGCGGGAGAAGGTATCCGGAGGGCTCTGCGAGAGGGGGCGGGGGGAGCGGCTCCGGCTGAGACCCCTCCCAGGCCCGGCAACTCCCTCTCCTTGCTCCCGCCTCCGAATCACCTTTCACCAGTCAGTCACCCGTTCATCTGTCGGTACTACCAGCTCTAAGCCTCTGGCCGCGCACCAGAGGGGTGGGGGAGCCGGAGCGGGACTGAGCCGAATAAGGCACCCGGCACTTACGTGAGGAGTGGGAGGGAAGGCTCCCTGGAGGAGGCAGTCTTGGAGCTAAACTCTACAAGGTTGTGCGCCAATCCAACCTCCACGCACAGCTGATTGTGTTCCGCGAGACTGGGGGCGGGGGGGAAGTTTGGGATGGGAAGATGTAGGATTGCAAAGGACTTCAAACATCGGGCGGGCGGGGAGCTTGATCCCCAGTAGGCTGGGCGCCAGCAGCGGAGGGTTCCGGACAGATTTGCGTGTTTGGAATCTTACTTGGGGGATGATGAGGGGGAAGGACCAGAGGGGGAAGACTGAGGGTCAGGAGGCCTGGAAAGAGGATGGGCATGGTTCAGACAATAAAGGGTGAGGTGCAAATCTAGGTTCTGGGCGAGGAGAAGATCCAAAGGGAAGACCAGAAGCAAGCTTAGGTCATGCTCAGTCTAAGGAGCCTGAATCCCTGGGCCAAGGACCTAGACACATCTGTGGGTTAAAGACAAAGATGGCCAAGCGACCCTGTCTGTGTGGTGGGGCAGAGAGATGCCGAAGCTGGGTAAGGATTAAGTCTCCCCAGAACAGAGCAGACAACAAAACTGGAGACAGAGCCCTTGGGGCCCCAACATCTAAGGGACAGGCAGAGCAGAGAAACCACAGAGTTAGGAGGCAAAGCAGGCAAGCATGGTGCCCCCGCAGCGGTTGGTGGGGGGGGGGGGGGGGGGGGAAGGGGGGGGGGCAGGCCAAGGGGGTTTAAGCGGGTGGGAGGCCGGGGGGGACGGGGCCGGGCCCTTTTGGGGGGGGGGGGTGCGGGATCTGAGAGTGGAGGCTGAGGATACAGGACTTGGATGTTCTGAGCACCCTTAAGCAGGAGTGAGGAGGGAAGCATGAGGACCCCAGCTGGGAGCCTAGGGGAGATAAGTGGCACATTCCAGTGGGGTAATTTGAGGCAGGTTTGCTATAGGGACTATATACAGTGGGCAGGGTTTAGGGAAGCCAAAGGGGTGAGCACCCATGGCAAGCCTTTACCATCTCCCGGTTCTCCCTAACCAGACAAGGGGAAAGAAGAATGTTAGAACCCAGGGGTAGATTTATGTGCACAAGGCCTTCGGTCAGGGATACAACCCCTGAGGTGACCCTATGGGAAGGGATGCAAGAGGATTAATATCCCATTCTCTCCTTCGGCTTCATCTTCTGCCAGTGCCTTCTGTTGGCCAAACCCACCTGGCAGCCAGAGGACAAGGCTGTCCATTGATGCAGTCTGTAGAGGTCAGCCTCTGGGGGCGCGGAGTGGAGGGGAGAAGGGGAAGAATGAAGCCAGGCATGTGCAGAGAAGCAGGGCAGAGAGTGAGGGGGTGGGGGGTGGGGAATGTGAGACGGTGAGACGAGCATTTGCTATGGATTCCTGCAAACTTCACTTTATCATGGAAGAGACCTCAACCTATGGCCAAGGGAAGAGGTAATGAAAAGCCCTGGGGGAGGCATTCCCCTTTTCTGAAGCAGGAGGACAAGTGCCACACTTACAGGAAGGACAGGCTTCAGGGGCTAGGGGGCCAAGGACAGGCAGGGGACATCAGAGCATCATGGTTCAGACCTGAGCAAGAGGAGATGGAGTCTGGAAGATGAGAGTGGTCTGAGCCCAGGGTCCATGAGGCCAAGACATCCAGTGGGTGTCCCACCCAATGGAGGGTCCTAAGACAAGGAAACCACCGTCTATCTCCGTAAGGCGTGGGAGGTGTCCTCCTCTTTCGCTTGTCCAGAACTGCAGGGCCTGTTGCTTCTCACTTGAAGTGAGTTCCCTTCTCTTCACTCTCTTCCATATTCAATTTTTGCCCCCTCTCCTCCTCTGACAAACCCTACCAGCCCCCATCCCTGCCTGTGACCGAGCCCTGATTCAATGGGGACGTCTCAAGGGCTGGCACTGGGCACATTCAGGTCACAGCTCTTGGGTCTTGCTCTGCACTGAGAGGTGCTTGGTGTATCCATTCATTCGACCTACTATGAAACAGACTCACTGCTAGACACTGCAGATTCAGCAGCAAGCCAGACAGATGCCCACAGAGCTCAGAATGTGATGGGGAGCCAGGAAGGATCACACGGAGTGAAGAGGCCATGGGAGGCCAGAGGAGACGGTGGAGCCTCAGGGACAACTCCCTGGGAGAGAAGAAGGCAGATCTTCCAGAGTGGTCTTCTACAACTTCCGTCAGATCAGCTTCTCCCTGCAAAACCCTCTAGTGGCGACTACCATGCTTGTGATAAAATCCCAGACCCTGTAGCCCCTTGAGACCTGGCCTGAATCATCTCCCTCAACCTCCCACCCCTCACTCCCTCTGTGCCTAGCACCCTGGCTTCGTCCCTGTTCCTCTCTTATCCACTTGCCCCTTCTTCCTCTGGCTGGGCCTTTGCACTTGCCAATCCCTCTACCTGGCACTCCCTTCTTCTGGCTGTTTGCTCCTGCTTGACTTCTCCTTCAGGTCTGAGTTGTTACGTCCTCTAATTCAGCGAGGACTGTCCTGCCCCCTAACACTGAAATCTCTCCTTCCCCTGAGTCACACTCAATGGTTATTTGTGTGCCTTCTTGTTTCTGGTCTGTCTCCTCCATCAGGACAGGAAACAGCTTTGGCTTTGTCACCTCTGCCTTAATAGGGCCTAGCACCAAGTAGGTAGTCAGTAAGGTTTGTTGAATGAATGAAGGTGAGAAGAGCTGGAGGGTCCTAGTGATTTGCCAGGTGAAAGGAGCCTTCGGGGTATGAGAAAGTTGCTCCTGTGGTGGGTACAATGAGTGCCAAGACTGGGAAGGCTGGGATACAAGTGAAGCTGGTAAGGTGAGGACGGTGTCACTCTGGGCAGTGGGGAGCCATAGAGAGTTGGAGCAGGAGAGGGCCCTAGGGAGGCAGTGTCCGAAAGAACTGGTTGGGTCTATAACCAATGGCCCCTGGAGTCCAGCCTTCCCACTCTCGCCCAGGGCCCACAGCCAGCAGCCCTCACCCCCTGCTGGTCCTTCTTGGACTCCCATGGCCCACTGGGCATGAGGGCCTGGCCCCAGCTTTGGTGACGAGGGCAGGACTGTGGTCCTGGGGGGAGAAGCTGAGGGCACGTTCTCAGGTTCCTGGTCATCGGCCCTGGGCCCA